CATTTTACAACACTGTTTAGTTGTTAATGCTTAATTAAACGTAACGAGTTGTCGCAGTCACAAAATGCTCTAACGAAATTCCCCTTAGAGCACAAACATATTTATTTGAATACTTTAAGCACCTTTCGAGAGTACAAGGGCGTGGCTAGCAAAAGAGTGAAGTGTATGGCATGAGTATGCTAAGCAAGCAGAATCTGCAAAGTAGTGAGAAATGGTATTTATGTTAATATAAGGTGAATATAATAATATAAAATTCGAAATAGATCAAGCGAAAATAGCATAGTGTATATAAATATAATTAAGTCATTTCCTATGTATATAAATATTTTCAACCATTCATAAAAATAATGATAAATAATTGCCCAAAAGACTATCTTCAGCAATATATATGCTGTTAGCTAACATATACTGTAACAATCTCTTAATTTCATTCGCATACGTTAAAAGAATGAAAGCAGTTTGATTTAACTTTATTGGACGCGAAGTTAACTGTTTAGGTTATTTATTCGCAATAATTATTGTACTCAAGCAAAAACATTATAATGACGTACCATTGATTAGAGTCTCTTTATCTGACGCCTACAAGTGGAGTGCGTGGGAGCACTGAGTATATAACGAGCATCTCTAAGAGACAAACTAGTCGAGAATACCTTAAATTCTGCCCGATGCACCCAGCCATGGGACGTCTATTGCTATGGGACGAGTTATTTTTAGACGAAATCGAGGATAATAGAATGATGTATATTGACATATTAAATAAAATGTATACTCATAAAATATATATTTTTTTTCCTTTCTTATTAAATATAATTATTTAATTCTCATTATGACTTACTCTTAATGATACTGTAATTTAACAATACACATTTGTGCAGCCAGAGAGAGTAAGCAGAATTTCTAAAAATGCATTTTCGATGACAAAAAAAGCTGCTAACGACAGTTAATCAATAGGGAGTAAAATGAATCAGTTTGACAAGACGAAAAAGTTGCAAACATCTGTTGTAGCACGTAAGTAGAAAATGCGTAATGAAAGGTAGACAGTTTCGAGCAATAACAGGTGGCCAAAGTGCAATGAGAGGTGCGCTCGAATTGCTGTGCTACACACAGACATACACATACTGTTTGTATAAAAGAGAGAGGGTGCCATGCGGCTGCATATGTGTGTGTTTGTCAATATATTGTATGTGGGTGTGTGTGTGTGTGTCTGTGCCCCAGGCAAATAAAAGTTTTTAAACTTTTGAGCCAAAAAAAAAAAAAAAAAAAAAGCACATCATCACGTTGGCGTTTTGTATATTTTTGTTGTTGTTTATTTTGCTCAAGTCATTTTCTGCAGATGACAAGTTGTGCCACGCATGAAACAAGCCAAGTTTTTTTTTTCCTATCGTCGAGTGTGTGTGTGTTTGCGTGTGTGTTTGTGTGCCAAAAAGTTGTGGTACGAAATTAGCTTTTAGCTTTTTTTTTTTTCTCAGCATGAAATATGCACCAGTTTTCGTCTGCTGATAACTTTTTAAACACTTTAATATATATTAAATGGGATGTGTAATTACTTTGAAAAGAATCATTTTGATTTCAACTGATTCACGTTGTGATAAACATTTCCAGTAAAAATGCTTTAAGAAAATTTTGGAAGTGTTTTGCAAATTTAGTGAATTTTGTTGATGTGGAGTAATAGAGGGAAAAGAGAGAGAGAGAGCTTTTTAAATATAGCCTTGTAGATAGACTTTACAGCTTATAAAGTCTGTTATGTAATTATGAAAAATATTTTAGCTTACTGCAGCAAGAAAAGGGAATTTACCGCCAGCCCCAAGTCAAAAGAATAGAGTGAAGTATCATATGAAAAACATCTATGGAAAGCAATGATAATACAATTCCTATTATAAGGAACTAATTTAGGGTAAATACCACAAACAAATCTGCTTTTTAAATTTACAGTTACCACAAAAATCAACTGGTCCTTCTGGTCACACTCAAGGTACTTCGAGCTACTCAGGGCAGCAGAAAGTGCAGCTCAGCTTGAGGTGTTGAAGCAGCTACAACAGAGCTCAAACTGTTTTGGGGCATTGCGCACATACTATTTATACATTGGAATAAAAATATGAAAATGTCTCAATGGAAACAAAATATTTCAACTGTCTGATTAAAGCATTTAGAAAAGAAAAATGATTCCAAAAGCATTTTCACATCAAAACGATAAGAAAACTTCATAATTGGCGAGTGCAAATAGAGTTATGAATTTAATAGTTGAAAAAACTTGCTTCTACTACTACACACACACACATACACAATGCACAGGCATATATGCATGTCACATGTTGTGCTCTATGGAATGCGCGCTAGCAAAAACTTCAAGTCAAACGCTGCAATGTTACATAAATTGAAATAGTTTTGTCGACAACTCTCAAAATGCATGCAAAACTTGCCACAAAAAAAGAAATCGAAGAAGAAGAAGCAGCAATAGCAGGAGCAGGAGCAGCAGCAGGAGCAGCAGCAGGAGCAGCAGCAGCAGCAGCTAACAATTTTTTTATTTTAATTAAACTCAACTTGAGGCAGCTGAAAAGTTGTTGCTCTTGGCCTGCATAGCATCAGCGCCCAGCATAAATGAACAACAGCCCCGAATAAAAGTCAAGTGCAAATAGAAATGTCTGCGTCGCAGTAGGCAAAAGTCAGTTGAAAGTTTTAGCTATAACACGCATGGTCAGCCATGGCTTAAGATGCATGCGAGGCGAGTCTACAACGATATTCTTGGGAAACTAATCTTAACCCCTTGTCAACGGGCCCCGAGCGAGAGGGAAAGAGAACAACAAAAAGCAAACTGCCAAGCAACAAACTAAGCAAGTTCAGTGCAAAACTTTTTCGATATTTCAAATGGGCAAAAATGTGCAAAAGAAAATCAACCTTAGACAATAACTTGCAAATCCAATTACGTCGAACCATGCCTTATGACATGCGTCGACTTCAATTCATGGGCTTTTTGTCGCTTGCATATTAAATTAGCCAGCAAATTGGCTGGCTGTGTGTGGCTGTACGGGGCTCGAGTGGGTGTCGGTCACAGAGAGCTGCCAATTTAAAATCAAATTTTGTTTTTGCCACGTCACAAGGGTCAGCAACAGACGCCAGCCAGCAGGCAACATAACAGGCCACCGTTCGCTGAGCGAGCATGCTCGGCGCCCTGATACTCACTGTCGAACTAAATTGCAGTTGAGGCAGATGCTGAAGAATAAATTTAAAACTGCTCTCAGAGCTGACAGATTTTGATGGGAAATCAAGGTATTCCATATAGTTGAGTCTCGATATCGAAATCGCGATGAATCGCTAATAATTCTATCCCTTTGAAAGAAATTCATTCTCGATAACTCTCCATAATTTAACTTTCTGTGAAAATCGAAAAAATAAACAACTCCCTTTGCCATTTCGGATTATCGGGACTCGACTCTAGAATAAAATATATACAAAAAATTTATATTATATGTAATATATATTCTACTAATATACATATCTCCCATTCATGTTGGTAAAATTGTTCACACGTTCCTTCTCGCTCACAACTTGGCTTTGGTATTGACAATGCATCAGTTGCACGTTGCGTATACGTAATGGCGCAACGTTGCGTATACGCAATGCGTTACGTGACAAGTTTGCAATTATATGAGCTTTGGTTTTTCGCCAATCGTTGCCCGGTATCCCACTTCGATTTGTCAATGCAAATGAGGCAAATGGTTTACCTATGTAAGTGTAAACTCATTTTGCACGCACAACAGCAGACAACTGAAGATGTAACAAGCTGCAATTCATTGTGCCTTGTTGGCTGTCTTTCAGTGTCTGCTCCGTCTCGCTCACTCTCAGTCTTCCTCGCACGCTCTCTCAGTCTATTTCTTAACATGGCCACTGCGCTTTTCACCTTAACAATATAATGGCAATCAATTGATAGAATTGACACAGCCTCAGACTCAGCGTCGACCTCTGCCACAGCCAGCCTCCTGCCAGCCTCCTGCCAATCTCCTGCCAGCTCGCCCTCATCTCACTCTCAGCCACAATGTGTTGGCTGTGTGTGTTTGTGCGTATGGCTGGCACATACATTGACTGCGGGCATTTGCCATTATTCATTTAAACCTGGGATTGAGCCGAGTGTTGCATTGCACAGCCGACAAATAGCCGCCGGCAGCCAGCACTCTCAACATTTCATACTCATTCCTTATCGAGGTTTTTCTTGTGGTGGCACCAAAAATTGGTTTCGATTTGTTTGCGATTTAGTATACAAATTGGGTGAGAGTCGACTTGTTGTTTTTTCAAAATGTATAAGCCAAGCCAGAATTGGCTTCACTAGAACATGTTTCCTATAAACAGTAAGCTGCAAGTGTGTGGGTGTGTGTGTGTGCTTAGACTTGATTAAATTGACTGGATTTACCCATACTAAGGTATTACGCATTCTACGTTTGCTTGAATTGAGTTTAATTGGAATTGAATGCCTGCAGCACTTGAGCATATTTTTTTCTTTTTACATAGATTTTGAATATATATACAGTAAGCCCATTGAAAATGGAAAATCGGTATGGTATGGTATGGTATCAGATACCATAAGTATACACATATGTTGTTTATCAGGATGAGAATTTAGCCTTGAGTGTTTTGAGTTGTGCAACAAGGCAGAGATATAAGCTGTAGAATATGAACTTGCATTAATGTCTAATTAATATTTAAGCTCAACTCTGTGTGAATCCACAACTACTATGTTTAGTACATTGTATATTTGAATTTTTATAGAAATACATGACAAAGGGAGTCTTTCATTAACCTTGCTGACTTCCCTTTGTGTGATGGAACACGGCTTCATAGTCAGTTCGTCTATGATGTTTAATCAATAAATTAAGTCTTGCATTTACCAATCATCATTACATTTCATACAAACATTTCGCTTAAAGATAACAGGATTAATATACACATATTTGGTTGATATTTTATAGGCAATAAACACTAAGACTCAAGCATATTAATTAACTTACCCGGACAACTGCCGCATTGAGTCAAATCTGCAATATATAAGACAGTTTCGATAAATATAAATTCACTCAAATAATAATATATTTAATATATCAATTAAATAAACTTTTTGTTTGCCGTCATGTTTTATTTTTTTTTTTATTTTACTTGTAAATGCTTTCTGGAAATCTTAAAGTTGAATAGCAGCAAGCAAATAGAATGTCGAGAATGCCAGAGCAACATGATTGTCAGAGTTTATTGTTGCTGTTGATGTTGTTGCTTGCCATTTCAGATTACAGCTGTAGTTTAGTTGGCATGTTCAGGCGGTCGACACATGCCTAGAAGCTTATTTATAATAAAAAATCATACATGCTAGCACAGACAATGAGACAATAGACAACAGCAACAACAACAGCAACCACAACAACAATGAGCACAATGCGGCACGAACAGGGTAAAATAAAAAAAATAAAATAAAAATAAAAACAGTAGAAGAAGAAGAATAACAACAAGCCAAGCCGAGCTAAGCCAGTCGCAGCTTCGCACATATAAGTTGACTGCTGACTGCCAGGCAAACCCAGGCAGCGCCATCATTAACTGCGTAGCTGTAGCTCTGTGCGTGTGTATGTAGGCTTACTTCACACACACACACTCACATAGAGACACACACCTCATCTAGCCATTCATTGACAACATTCAGCATTGTAGATAACATTCAGCTTATCTACCTAGGGCAACCGAAAGCAACAAAAACTCAGTAATGAAATTTTCGAAATATCTATGATGATTTGCGGTTGCCATGATTGTCGACACATCTATGTGTGTGCATGTGTGTTTGTGTGAGTGTGTGTTCAACACTTCCGCCTCGCTTTCAATACAATAGAGCTACACATACAACACAGTTAGCAAGGCTTTTGCCCTCTGATTTCCGGCAATTGCAAGTGACTAAAGTCACACTTGCTGCCTTCTGGCCATTTTATTGTTTGCCTTTTTTTGGCCAAACAGAGAGTTAGCTCACTCAGCCAGCCCAGCCAGTTGACCAGCCAATCTGTGCTCAGGCCATTTGGGCATTTGTGGTTTTAGCTCGAACACCCTGGGATTTAAGGCTACATGATGCTAACAGCATTATTATTAATTTTCTCAAATTGAAATTTTCTGCTTTAAAAGGATTCCAGAGCCTTCTAGCCGAAAGCTTTAATTGCGATAATTTTTCGGCTAAATATTCAATGAATATTCTAAATAAAAGCTGAAGCTTTGTATTATATATATCTATAATTTATTACAAATTTACCATAAAGTTATTCAAACAATTTTTCCTAGTTCAATAATCACATTAGAAAAAAATAAAAAAAAATTTTTTTTAGCTTGATTTCATTTTTAGTATGCTTAGTTTTTCATTCACCTCGGTGAAAAAAATTAGAATATAAGAGTTTCGAAAACAAAAGCTGTTCATATTTAATAAAATCGAAAAAAGTCAAGCCTTTTTTTATATTAATACTATTATAAAGCATGAGTACCAATATAAATAATTTAAAAAACATCCAATTAATATATCATTTTTGGAATGTAATATAAATAGTAGGATATAATTATGTAATAGTATAATTTAGATTATATTGGGTTTGGATGATTTAAATGTTAAATTTATTTATTTTTTATTTATTCGTTTTCATGTTTTTTATTTTATTTTTTATTTTAATTTTATTTTTTTGTACCTGTGGATTTAAAATGAATCTTTATACAATAACTCTTCAATTTATATCTTGTTCCTAAAACAATTTTTAAAGAAAATGCATACATTTCACATTAGTATTTTTATTAATATTATTTTTCTTTAATACTCGTATATTAAAATATTTTTTTTTTTATTATTATTTCAAACTGTTTGCTCACCTGCGATTGTTGCACCTGTTTGCCCATTCAACTAGTTTCCTAACATGAGTAGTCATATCAATTAAATAAATGCATATTTATAGGAGAATCATTTTCCACTCGTGATTCTCTAAGAGACCCAGCTCAGTTGCTCAGTTGATTTTGATTTCGCTCTGGTAAATTGTTGATTTCAATATGGAAATAAATCATTCAGCTGAAGGGGTGCTTGTTATTGTCAGCCGCACTCGACTCTGTCGCATTTATAATTTTTCGAGGACTTCGCATAGACCGCAAATGCGCTGTGGCATCTTCGACTGCCCTGAGTCGACGTCAGTTGCAGTGGAGTAACTGAAACGAGTTTTTAATGGCAGTTCTTTTTTTTCCGCTCTCTTCCCTTCCCTTCCCTTCCTAGCAATGCATTTTTCAATATTTGCCTTGCCAGCTGGGGCGTGGCCATGTGGGCGGTGCAAAATTCAAACTGACAGTAAAATAATTTTATTATTTATGGTGAATGGCGTCGACGATGACGACGACATAAAGTGGGAGCGTGTGACTGGAGCAGCGCCTAAAAAGTTGTAACGGAATTATTGTAAAATTTGGTGTGTGAAAATATATACGTATGTATATGGATGCACATTCGGAATGCTAGGGCAGAGCCCTGGGTAACCCCTCGTTCCATATGCAATCATAAATTTTTGTGTGCGGCATGCAAAATAACGTAATAACATTAAATATGCAAATGCCTTTTGTCAGCCATGCATTTACACATAGCAAACACACACACACATACACACACAGGCACACATTTACAGGAATGGAACACATTTACTGAACACTCGCATGGGCTTTCATTCATTCATTCATATAGCGCTCAAATGTTTGGGTAGCTGACTCTGCGTCTGCATCTGCGTTTGCGTCTTCCGAGTCGACTTCATCACAAGTTTTGCAATTTGCATAAAGTGAAAATGATGCACATTTCTGTTTTCCTACGACAATTTGCTTTTATTGATTTTCTTTGATTTTCCTTACACACACACACACACACAGACACACCCAGAGAGATAGAGAGAGAGAGAGAGAGTGCACAGTGGCTCAGCTGAAGCAGCTCACTTCGAGCTCCTTTACATGTGTTTTGAATGACGTTGAGTGCTGCTATGCAAACATTTTCTAACGAACACTTAGTGCAAATAGATTGCGCACAAGCACACAAGACTCGATATTTCTCTCTGTGTATGTGTGTGTGTGTGTGCCACAGTTACAACGACTGCTTCACACTTCTTTCTGTCTTCTCTTAGTTCACTTCAGCATTTTTTTATTGCTTGCCAATTACTTCTTATGTGCTTGTGTATGTGTGTGTGTGTGTGTGTGTCAGTCTTGAATTTCATTAGATTTTCTAGTTGTTAAATCAAAATTGACATTATGCATTCCATTAAATTTTATTGAATGTAGCCTGTATCCACAATTGTTATTCCTCCACAGCAACGCAAATCAAATTAAGTTGATCTTTACAGCTTTTGAATTCAATATAGCTTAGCTCGTTTGCATTTGATCTAAACTGTTAACTGGCAGTGCGCATCATGTTAAGCTATTAACATGGGAGCTCAGAGCGCATTAAATTGGATTAAAGTAAAATTGTATATTTGGTATTTTTCCATTAATTTGATATAAATAAGTAGAGTAACGTTGCAAACAAATAAAATCATATACATAGAGCCTAATTTTTATCATAAAAAATAATAATAAATAAATAAAATAAAACAAGAAATCGAAGTATTGTTAGGTGATTCAATGCTAATATTATTATATTGTTATTTCAACAATAAATAGAACAAATAAGTTAGTTTAAACTAAAAGGGAAAAGTTGAGTTGCAAACAACATAAAAAAAAAAAAACATTATTATTAATTATTTATTTTATTTTTTTAAATTGCTATTTATAATCCTTTTTTTTTTTTCAAAGTAACAGTAAAAAGTTAAGTAATAAATAGCATAAATTGACTTGTTTTAGTTAATTTAACTTCCATCACTTTTTTCTGCTCGATTCATAATTAAAGATAGTTAGTTATATTCAATTTAGTTATACATACATATTTTTGAAGCAAAAGTTATCATCATAAGTAAATGAATTCACTTTTAAGTTATTATTAATAACTTAATTTTCTTTACTATCTCATATCCTATGTTCTGGAAAATGTCATTCAAAAAATTCAATTTATAATCAACAATCTTTTTATTCAATTGAATTTTATTTATTTATTTATTTATTTGTTTTTTTTTTTTTTTTTTCAATGTTTCCTTATTCTTACAATACAATTTCTGCTAGACATTCTTTTTTTTCTTTTGCTTCTTCGTTAACTTTTTGTTGTTGTTGTTGTTGCGAACTGTCGGTCATGTGCGTCGGAACTTTATATATTGCGAGCAAAGTTGGCAGTATCGACAACGAGTGCAACAGTCGCTGCCATTTTCGCAAATTGGCCAATAAAGCGTGCTCACAACATTTGGGCCAACTTGCTGGCGTGTTACCTTTCAAATATAGCTGGCCAGGGCCAGCGATTGCGCATAAAAACTCTGTTAAGACTTTACTCAAATATTTAATGCGCATTTAATAGAAAATGAATGAAGTTCAATTTAAAAACAATAAACAAATAAATTGGGTCTGTAAAAGAGTAAATAGTAAAGGCGGCTGGCAGTGTAGGTTCTGCTTGTCGACTCGGCCTCTTTGGGCTGTCAGCGATGCGAGAAGGTGTTCAAATCTTACTACCTATGATACGGGAATGAAGTCAAGTATTTCCATAACCTTTAAGATAAGCAAACCTATGCCATAACAAATAGATGGGTATCGAGTCGCTTCAAAAATATTTCATATAGTCTACTTCTAATATTAGCTATAAGCAAGCTGTACTGGATTGTCTGAAAAAGGAAAATACTTTGACTGTCGCTCTTTGAAATGGCGAGTGTATCATTCAGATCTCTGCATCATCTCTGCAAATAAGCAGACGAATCCGACTTGATCTATATCCCTTATGCTTCATATAGAGAATATATATATGTTCATTCTCGGGTTCGACTTTAACAAAATCAATAAATTTCTACACGTCCAATTTCCTACTCTTTCATGTACTTTCGTTAGTCACTGTCTACACTCTCACATTGCTACTTAGGTTGACTTTATCAACTTT